TATTGAGGAATAAAAATCTTAAGAAATTAAAATGTCATGAGTGCAGCCGAAGATCTGAAACCTGAAGGGTTAACTGTAGCTGAGGAGAATGCTGAGCAATTAGAAATACAAACACCTGAATCACCTCCCAATTTTTCTCCTCCAGTAGACAGGATGAGGGCTGGGCTTCGGGGAAGACTTATGACAAAAAGGTCAGAGGATTGCTCGAAGGCTGCCCGCAGAAACATCCGATCAACTAGTCCTGAGTTCTGACAGGATGAAAAGGCTTCCAGCAGTTCAAGGGGCTGTTTTACTATATAAACAGCTCTCAGATGGCTGAAAATCTGTGGAAGCAACAAGTCAAACGTTTGGCTTGCATCCACACTCTTGACAACCTTGAACCTTGTTCTCTGGACCCTTGGCTTTGGACTCTGACCCTGGACTATGTTGTGTTTTGGCTTTGGACTCTGAGCCTGGACTATGTTGTACGTTTTGGCTTTGGACTCTGACCATGGACGTTGTGTGAGTTGGCTTTGGTATTTGGATATCGGCTCTTCATTCCCTGAATTCCTGACATAGGACTGGCTTATTGGACTCTGCTGTTGTAACCCCTGGGAACGTGACACAAAATTTCCACCAGTATTCTATTGTTTTTCCTCCACCACTCAAACATCCACACAGAAGTCTCAGTGAAACACGGGAACTCTCAGCAGTAACCCAATACAACTTTATTTTGATATGTAGTGTGGAAGAAAAAATAGAAAGTACACAAAATGTTTCCCACAGAAAGGAAAGTTACAATACTTTCATATGCAAAATCCATCAGTTCCTATCCAGTTATTAAATATGTTGCTCAGGGCAAGAAGAGTATATTGTGAACTGGCCTCCCTCAGGACCGCTTTCAGGAAGTGAATGGCCAGCACATAAAAGTCAGATGCTTTCACAGAAGCTTACTGTAGCTGATGGAATCTTTCCAACACTGCCCATTGCACTTACTACATCTGTATGCCCCTCTTGGGGGCAAGAACAGAAAAGTGACAATCACCTTCACTGCAATTAAGACAGGCTACCACCACTACACAGAAAAGTACCTTCTTCGAATACAGCTATTGTTGTTAGAGGTACATGAACTTAATTGCAAATAAAAAAAAATTAAGACACTTGTGTTTAATTTGATTCATAGTAGGGAAATCCTCAACTTGCAAATAACATATCAAAAAGCATGAAGATCAAAGTCCATCTCTAGCTGCAAACATCTAATGAGAATCAGTTGAATTCAGTTTTAGTTCCAGCTAGAGTGGACTCATTAAAATCAAGGGAACTTATGCTGAATTTTGCCCAATGGGTCACTGTGCAGATCAAGCTGTTATCTCTATACGCCTATATTGATATCAATCAATGGAAATGCACATGTATGCACAAACTGGGCAAAATCGATTTTTCAGGTGGATTCCATTTAACATTCTTGTCGTAAAACCAAGGATTACACGGCTTCTAGTTGCTGTAATTAATGCACATTTACTTTTTTAAAAATCAGAAAATCCCAAAACATCTACCAACTCTTGTACTGCTTATTCATATAAGCAAACACACTAAAACAAGTTAATTATTTCACCCTACCTTTACATCTGTCCTGCATAAATATAAGCTATCATGATGTACATAAATTATAGGGCATAGTATTTAAAACTGAAGAAAGGGTATTTGCTATTGGCCAAATAACATAAATCCAACTCATAAAGTTCTTTAAGTGAAATTTGGAGTCACTGAGTAAGGTTGTGACATAATACAACCCCCTCAGGGCCCAATCCCTACCATGTTGCCCCACTGAATTTTTTTTTCACAAGAACAATTTTCAGAGAGACCTGTGCCCTGCTGGGTGGCGGCGGCAGCTACTCAGTGTAGTAATGCCAGATCGCTGGCTGGAGTTCTTATAAGAATTGTTCAAAGAACTGGCCACAGTTCATGCAGGAATCAGTGCATTAAGAACAGCTCATGAAACAGGATGTGGGTGATGCAATGTCTCATCTCAAAATTTCATGAGTCACCCTCCTTTAATACAGATACACTTGCTCCTAGATTATGGAGCATCTGCTGCCAGTGTTACGATTCCAGGAGATGTTTCCTTGCCCCTTGGTACCAGACCTGATGAAGTTACACCCTTTAAGCAAGCAACTAGTAAGAATACATCTTTCTCCCATCACCCATTTCCAGTCTACATCCAAGCCAAACAATATAAACCATGTTATTATGAACTCCTTAAGCCTCCTATAAGCTGAAGTGCTTTATGTATTATTTTCCTTGTTCCTGAAAATATTTTCCATAGTGGGGTTTTCTACTCTGTTCCAACTTCTGCTTTTGTATTTTTCTCCTACTTTAATCTTTCTGTTAAAAAGTGTTGTTTTCATTTTTTTTAAAAAAGCAGACTTACCAAAAATAATTGGATGCTGTTTTTCAAAGTAACAGCTTTCCACTCACATCTATCCCAATTCTGCTGTTTCTACAATTAACGGTAAATCAGTAACTTTTTCAAAATCTATGAAAAAATATCAGTTGTTAAAAACAAAGTAGTGTCCAGTGAAATTTTCTGTCATGAAAATAGCAATAAAAAGGTAGAGTTCCTTAAAATTACACAAAAGATGCAACTTGGCCAGCCAAGCCACAGTTATACTGTCTGACCTTCTAAGGAGCCATTTGTAGGTACTGTCTGCCTAATACATCTTAAAGATACATTCAGTGTGGCACAGCTCCTGCATAAGCCATCATAAAAAAATTCCATTCTGAAAAAGGCACAAGTATAATAATTAGGCCACAGTGGCTTTGTTTCAGGGCTTGTGCCTCTGTTCCTACTTTGTATTTTGCTATGAGATGAACATGATTTGTTCAGGAGAGCAAATATTATTTTTAATATTATGTTAATATTGTCAATTTAACATTCTGAATTGCTTTGCTTTTGTCATCACTTTGTCAACCAGTAAATCAAAAACAGATTTATCTTTCAGATCGTAAGTCTTGCAGGCAAACAATAGTCCTTTTGCCTTGTTAAAAACTGGCTTGTGTGAATATTTTTATTCCCACATTCTGGAGAGAAGCATCACAAACCTAATGTAAAAGAAGCCCTGCAAGATTAGTTCACACTACTGCAATCTCAGCAGTTTGACTACAAAATTGATTACACTAGCAAACAAGCCCCTGACGCATACGGATGATCTGGAGTAAGGCTGCTTGAACATCTTCATCCATATGACCCTGCAAAAAAGAAGAGATCTTCAAAAGGGTCTGTGCTACAAGCAGTGTGAGAACCCATTCCGGCCCAAACAATTCATTGGGTGAATTAAGCTGGACTTTAGCTATCACTCAGCAATTCCAGTTCTATTATTCAACAGCACATGAACTGTATAGACAGCGTTTCTTTTAATACAGTCCACATGAACTTTTTAAAATAACCATGTTGAAGTCATGTGCCAATAAAATATAAATAAAATATGTAGGGTAATTTTCTCATTTACTATCTGAAAGTGACGCCATAGAACAAAGAATGTACCTTGCCATCACATGACATGGTTCCCAATGGCAAGAACAGGCTCAATGAAAAAACTACACAAGTGTTAAAATCACCTGCCTTGAATCACATTCCTAGACTTCATTTGCTTCTCCTCTCAGTCAGGGAGGGATTAAGGAAGCCTACCCAAAATGACACATAAAGAGATTTCAGCAAAACACACCTGAACCGCACTAAGAAGGTGTGTTCGATATATCGAGATGACCTCCTGGTGCTGCCTCTCAGCATCCTAGGACAAAGAAGCACTTTTGTTAATTTCCATTATCAGATTTTCAAACATGGATTCATAGAAACATAGAATAATGGCGTTGAAAGAGGCCTATAAGGCCTTCAAATTCAACACCCCGCTCAGTGCAGGAATCAAGACATTTATTTATAGAAATCATTTATGTGTTGCCTTTCTCCTAAAGGATACAAGGTAGCTTACAGTATTAAAATAAACAAAATTAAAAGCTAAACAACATTACAGTATTAAAAAAGCTTTAAACAGATATTATACTGAACATCATAAGAGAATTTTATTTATTTATTTATTTATTAAATTTGTATCCCGCCCATCTAGACAGCGTCTACTCTGGGTGGCTCACAACAAAATGGAATAAAAACAATCAAATATCTATTTAACAACAGCAAGAAAATCATTCAAGATGGAAAAAAGGGATAACTCAGATGGTGACCAGAGGGAAGGCCTGCCTAAATAGCCAGGTCTTGAGTTGGCTCTTGAAAATACCTAGCGAAGGGGCCAGGTGGATCTTGAAAGGGAGGTTATTCCAGAGGCAGGGGGCCACTGCCAAGAAGGCCTGGTTTCTTGTTTTTTCTTTCTGGGCCTCCCTCGGCGTTAGGCTCCCCAGCCGCCCCTCCTGGCTAGAGCGAGTGTTACGAGTAGATCTAGGTGGGAGGAGGCGTTCTGCCAGGTATCGAGGTCCTAAACCATTTAAGGCTTTATATGTGATCATTAACACTTTGAAATCAATGCGGAAACAAACGGGCAGCCAATGCAAAGCGGCCAGAGTGGGAGAAATATGCTGATGTCTTCTGCTCCCAGTAAGAAGTCTGGCTGCTGCATTCTGCACCATTTGAAGCTTCTGCAGCAATCTCAAAGGTAGCCCCACGCAGAGCGCATTGCAGTGGTCTAATCTTGAGATTACAAGCGCATGGACCAAAGTGGTGAGCGCCCCCAACATCAAGATAGGAATGCAGCTGGGCAATCTGCCACAGATGGAAACAGGCGGAGTGGACCACAGATGCCACCTGGGTTTCCATGGTGAGCACTGGGTCCAGATGAATCCCCAAGCTGCAAACCTCACTCTTTGCAGTGAGAGTCACCCCCCCAAAAAAGAGAGGGAGTTTCCCAAACTACCAATAGTGGAGCCACCCACCCTCAGGACTTCTGTCTTGTCCGGGTTCAGCCTCAGCCCATTTTCCTGCATCTATTGCAGTACAGCCTCCAGACAGCGCTGAAGGGACAGAACGGCATCCACTGTGGTTGGAGAAAAGGAGAAACTCTCTCCCCAAGCTGAACTCTCTGAGGACGGTCCTCCAAGAAGGACTGGAACCAGGCAAGCGCCAGACCACCAATTCCCAGCTCGGAAAGCCTCCTCAGGAGCATACCGTGGTCGACAGTATCAAAGGCAGCTGAGATATCAAGGAGAACCAACAAAGATGTTTTGCCCCTGTTGGCCTCCCTCAACACATCATCCAACAGGGCGACCAATGCCGCTTCTGTACCATGGTGTGGTCTGAAGCCCAACTGAAACAGATCCAGGGCATTTGTTTCATCCAAATGAACCTGAAGCTGGTCGGCCACCACCCTCTCTACCACTTTACTAAGGAAAGAAACATTGGCAATGAGCCTATAATTGCCAATATCGTCTACTGCCAAATTTGGTTTCTTCCTAATGGGCCTAATGAGTTTCTCCTTGAGGGCAAGAGGTACCTTGCCCTCCAGGAGAAACCCATTGATTATTGCTGTAGCCGATTCGATTGTTATAGGCCTGGCTGCTTTGATTAGCCCGGCCAGGCAAAGGTCAAGGGAAGAAGTGGTGGCTCGACAGTGATCAAGTGCTTTCTCCACAATATCTGCCATTACAGGCTGAAAGAGATCAAGACTCACTGGGCAAGGCGGAGCACTGGTTATCTCTGCTAGATCCACTGTATTCAGAAAAGGAGAGAGCTCCCGGCGGATGGCCTCCACTTTAGATTTAAAAAATGCTACAAATTGGTCGGGTGAAATGGTAGAAGGAGGCCCATCACTTAGACCAATTCTGGATAGTAAAACACATAATAAGATGATCCCTTTAAAAAAATCCCCTTGGTCAACCAGTGGTTTAAAGGAAAGCCTGCCTGAAGAGAAAGGTCTTGGCTTGCAGAAGAACAGCAAAGATGAGGCCAGCCTGGCCTCCCATGGGAGGACGTTCCGTTAACAGAGAAGGCCCTCTCCGGTGTCCCCACCAAACATGCCTGTGAGGGTTGTTGGACCAAGATAAAGACCTGATGCTTTTAATACATGGGGAGATTCCTAAAGGGATATACAGTCTTTTAGATAGCTTGAACACAAGCTGTATTGGGCTTTATAGGTGAAAACGAGCACTTTCAATTGTGCTTAGATATGGATCAGCAGCCAACAGAACTGCTGTAACAGGGAAGTTACATGTTTCTTGTAACTATCCCATCTGGTTGCAGCACTTTGGACCTGTTGAGGTTTCTGAACACTATCCAAAGATAAAGTATATCTGATAGCTTTCTGCTGAATGCCTTCAGAGTTGGGGAGCTCATCACTTTCTTGGGTAATTAATTCCACTGTCATACTGTTCTAACAATATTTTTCCTGATATTCAGTTGAAAACTGGTTTCTTGTAGCTTAAGCTCATTAATACACATTCAGTGCTCTGAAATTACTAAGAGCAGATCCTGCCCTCATCCCTGCTAAATTTTATTCTGTTGTCTTCAGCCCAGTGCTTGAGCCTATAAAGATTTCTCCAAATTTGGGTTTTTTTCTTTCCAAGTATTATCTGCATCCATTGACCTTTCTTCACTTGTTCATGGGGAGATAAAAGAGGAAAAGAGTAAGCTATTCCAAAATCAATGTAAATCTCAACTATCTCTAAAATTCAGCAGGCGTCACCCTCTCATTTTCAAGCACTGTAACTGTAAGGACCAGAAAATCAATCTCTAAAACAAAAGCAGAACTTGTCAGTGTTCTTTCTGCAGTTTTGCAGCCAACACACAGTCCCTCTGATTGTGCTATTTTTCCACCACTTCTAGGTACAAGGCCCTTGACTTAGCTACAGACTTTAGCATATAGTGCTTATGGATGCAGTCCACTACTTACAGCTAGCTGTTGTTCCAAGGTCTTCACCTGGTCCTGAAGTATTTCAGTTGGTTGGTTCTGCCTCTTTACAGGAACACCGCCATTGTATGTAAGGTGAGAGAGACCATTAAGGGCCTGTTTTAGCCGTTCCACATCATTAAGTAACTCAGTGATCTTTAAGAGAGAGATTACAAGAGTTCAAAACATAAACCAGACTGATTAATTTATCAGCATTATCTACTTCATATGCTTGTGCAGCACTTGTATAATCAAACACAGAAGCTCTCACAGTATTGCTTCCTCTGTTCTACCTAGGCTGTAGCACAAATGCAAACAGGAAAATAAATAAAACCATGGTGCTTTTCTCAGTGTCCCTCGGCGATGGAATGTACTAAAGCAAAGGTCCCTCAAATCCAGTTATTGGCAACAAAGCCCAAAGCCACATCCTAACTCCCCAAACAGAAAACCAATAGAATGGAGCTTAAAATCCTGTAAACAAAGTGATCTTGGCCAAATGTTGGGCTTGCAAGAGAAGAAGGAATGTCCAAGTACAAGCAAAACCACAGTTGGCTCCCCTCCTGCTTTACTACTGAATTCTGAAAAAGCCTGGAGCTACCCTGTTATCATGTACACCTATTCTGATGCACCTAGATGAATCAAAATATGATTTTAGACATCTAAGAGTCAATATCCTTGACCTCTGTAATAATCAAAAAGTAAACAAATTTTAAAATGGTTTTTTACAGGCATGTGAGAAAAGCAGGTATGAATTCTTTGCATGTAAAGCAGGGATAGGAAATCTTATCTGGACTAGAATTTCCACAATCCTGGACTGCTAGCTATGCTGCCTGTGGGTTACATGACTAGTAATCCAAGGCAACAGGACAGCACCTGTGCAGACAGCCAAACTGTATTTTGTTGCAAGCTGTGCAAGATTAAGTGACTGTTCAGTACTACTATAGCATCACTTTTAGCTATGTCTGCCTTCCAACAAATTTCAGTGCATGGCATTTCAGAGAGGATTTCTCCTTTTGTTGTCTCCCCTGCTTTATTTAGCTAAGAATAAAGGAGTTTTTGCTGGATTATCTATAGCCAGCAAGGTTCTTCTCTCTTCTCCAGCTTACCTTGTTGTCTTTTGCTTCCACCTGCTTTGCAGACTCCTGGATTCTCCTCTGAAGTTCTGCAATTGTGCTAAGAGACTTGTCACATCTCTCTTTTTGATCTTTGATTTCTTGCTCGATGCTAAAGCTTCTTGGCTCAAGCAGCTCCTCCTCTTTTACAGGTTTCTCCGCCATGTTCACCTGTGAAGCCTTATCACACATCCCCTCAAACCTCTTATTCAATTCAGTCAGCTTCTCTTCCATGCTGTGAACCTGGTCTTCTAGCTTGCTTGTCACCAACTTGTGTTCAGACATCTCAACCACTTCTCTGCCTTCTAGTTCCTTTAATAATTGCTTTGTGCTCTGGATTTCAGCTTGCAGTTTTGAAACCTCTTCACTTCTTGCTTGATATTCTCCCTCCTTTTCTCTCAAGCTGGCTTTCAAAGTTGCCGTTTCTTTTTCTAACCTTTCTTTTATTTGAGTGTACTCTACCAAAGGCACTGTAGTTGCTTTTAGATGAGCTAACTCGTACTGAAGTTCTTGTACTTTCTGGCGTTCTTGCTGCCAACTTGCTGTCTTGCTGCTCACCTTTCCTTTCAGCTCCTCAGTGGTGGAGCTAAACCTCCTTTTTAAGGCTTCAAACTCCTCCATTAGATCATGTTGGCTCTGCACATTCAGTGCCTCTGACTGCTGTCTGGCACTCTCTTCTAGAAGCCTTTCCTTTTCACATTTGATCTCTGAGAACTTTTGCTGCAGCTCTCTCAACTGTTTGTTCAGATCATCCATCTTTCTGGCAAACATCCTTTCCATGTCATGTGACTTTTCTGCAAGGATGTAATTCTGCTGCAGATCATTTTGGATACCCTGGAGCCTAGTCTTTAGCTTCTCATTTTCCTCACTCAATTTCTTTATTTCCTCTTCTTTTCTAGCCAGCTGCTCCTCTCGTTCCAGCAACTGGTTTTTCAGCCCTTTTACTGTGGCCTCAAAGTTTCCTTCTCTCTCATCAAAACTGGAGAGGGGAGCATATTTTGATGTGATGCATTCCTGAATCATGTCAAGCTCTGTTTTCTGGGCTTCAATCTCAGCATGCAACTGTGTAACCTCTTCTTGATTTAGCTGATATTTTAACAGCATTTCAGAATTTTTTTCCTGGAGCTCCTGAATGGTTTCCTTCAAAGCAGCAACCTTCTTGTCATGATTTCCCATGCTTATAAATTCACACTGCATCTGGCTCTGCAGGGCTCTCAGTTTTCTTTTTAATGCCCCATTTTCTTCACTTACTTCAACAAACTTCTGTTTAACATCTTCCATTTTTCCCTTCAAATCCAATAACTCTTGGTCTGTTTTCTCCAGCATGCTGTTTAATGAAGCTTTGGTCTCCTCATGAGTATCAACAGGTACATACTGCTTTTTCATGACATCTTTAAGAACTGAATTTTTAGACTGAAGTTCAAATGACTTGGCTTGCTCCTCCTTGTATTTTTGGCCAAGTTCAGCCAGCTGCCTTCTCAGGTTAGCTACAGTAGATTTTAAGGCCCCTGTTTCCTCCTCATACTTTTCTAATGGGACATAAACAGCCTGAAAGTGACTAATGGTTTCTCTTAAGGAAGCCTCTTCCTCCAGCAGCTTCTCTGTTTCTCCTTTGTACTTGTGATACTTTTCAGTGATTTCTATGAGCTTTATGTTCAGCTCTTGAATCATTAAGTCACTTGCTTTTTTCATGTCTTCATTGACTTTCAAAGGCACATACTGTATTTGTATCTCACTCTTGAGGGTGTCTATTTGCTTCTTTAGCAAGCTGTTATCTGCACAAGACCTTTCTATCTCCTTCTGCAGTGTCTGATTTGTCTGTTTCATCTCTGAATAAGATCTCTCAAGATCTTTGCTTCTTTGCTCATACCTGCTCTTCATAAATCTATGCTCCTCCGGCTTTATATACTGGGAAAACTGAGCCCCCTGACTTTCAAGTTCTACCTTTAACTGCTGAGCTTCTGTGTGTAGTTTATTACATTCCTTCTCCAGCTCTGTTATCTTCCAGGCCTTTTCTTCAACTTCACTGGATAATGAACTCTTCATCTTTTCATATTTGTCAGCAAACTTTGCTGCCATTTCCTTGAGCTGGCCTTCCGTCTCAGAGCCCATCCTCTTCCTTTTATCACGTTCTATCTTCAACATGCCAAGTTCCTTCTGAAGCTTTTTGTTTTCCTCCACTAGTTGTGCTTCATCTCTCCTGAACTCTTCTACCAACAACTCATTCTGCTTTAACTGGTTCCTCAACTTGCCTACTTCAGCAGAAGCACCCTCATATTTTGCTTTCATGTCTTTCAACTGATCCTTCAGCTCCTCAGGCAGTTTACTGTTGGTTACAGCTACTTCATTTGTTAGGTGATCCTTCAATGCAAGAAAGTGTGTCTGCATCTGCTTAACTTTGCCCTCTGAGTCAAACATTCTTTTCTGTACATCTTTTAATGCATCTTCCAATTGCTTTATCTGCTGGTCAGATTCTTTCTTTGTCTTCTCGTATTCAGTCATCAACGCTTCACATTCAGCTGCTTTGTGTGACAACTCCAGCTGAAGCTTGCTTATGTCACCTCTGGCTGTTTCATAGCAGCTCCTCATGTTGCTTAATTCTTGCTTGAGAATCTCCACCTCAGAGGCAGAAGATGAACTGGGACTCAAAAGTTCCAAAGGTCTCATCATTGATCTACTTTTGTGGAGAGCTTGCACTGAACCAGGCATATGCTTTGAACAACAGACAGATAGATTAATTAATTTCCAGAGAATATTTTCTACAAAAAAAGTTCACATATTCTCTGAAAAATGTGAAAGCTCCCACTTAGCATATCAGTAGAGTACCTGGGAGGCTCAAGGTTTAATTCTCTAAACTTCCAAGCTAGACTCTTATTGGTTACACAAGAGAAAATGCAGAAACTGCCACAGCTATTATAGTTTACTGACAAGGTGCCCGGTATGGTTTGTTATACTCAACCAACATGCCACTAGTACCTTGTTGGCAGGCTATGGTGATTTCTATGTTTTCTTTTGCACATGTGCCAATAATAAATAGTACTCTGGCCCCAGTAAGCAAGGATTTGGTAACAGAGATGGGAAACATCTGAGTAGGCATGATTAGGGGATGACAAATCTGTCATGGTAGCACAAGGTGGTTCCTCATGTTTCTCTTCCATTAATACTTTCTGAAAATGCAATGTAGTTTTGGATTTTGTAACTGAGAACAGAAACTGAGGAAGTGGACATTTTCCATGAGAGCTCACATTAAAGTATAGCAGTTAGTCTTTAAGGTGCTGAAATTTTACTATCGTCTTTATTTCTTTTTTTTTCTTGTTTATATATTTAGAAGCTCAACATACTCCTCAACTTGGCAAGATCAGACCTCCAAACTTCCATCTATTCTCACTTGAATAACTACCATATTTGAATACTGGAAGAGCATGCATTTCATTCTATAGCTCTACCAGATAACAGTCACTGGCTCACATCCTCTCCTGTTCTTATGTGGAACACTTTAATGCTAATACAAATATGCAAAAAGCCAAGGAACAGATTACCTGTGATTCTGCAGAATACAGAAGCAAACCATCTTCTTTCCCTTCAGAAACATGAAACAAACATATTCACTGTCTAATTTGACAAAGAAAATATGTTGGTGTGAGATATTTTTCCAAGGAGTAATCATGTTATTTTGTTATAGCAAAGCAAAACACCACAGTGAAACAAGCTTTTGTGGATGTAGAATCAGCTCCATGAAATATTACCCTAATTCACAGGGATGTATGTTTTGCAAAGAGGGTGGATAGTGAGTGTAACTGAGCAAATAAGATGCAGAGATAACTGACTATGCAGTTTACCTTAATATTAAACACAGTGGCCAAACATTCTAATAAAGCTAAGCAATGGCCTAAAAAAATAAAATCTTTTGATTCAGGCCACATAAGAAAATTGTTTTTAAACAGGTGCTGATACAAAAGAGAAATACTAAATACAAATAAATATCTATGCTTCAGGCATTCTAACAATGACCAGAATATTTATTTATTTATTTATTTGATTTATTTATTTGATTTATATCCCGCCCATCTGATATGTAAAGAAAACTCTCCAAGTTCATTCCTTGTGTTTAAAAATTCTATTATCATCTTGAAATCTCATCTGCTCTGCCTGTTTCCATCTTTGTCAGGTCCCTTCCACCACAATGTATACTTTTATATTATATAGCTAAATATTCCACTCCATGTGTAGTGGAGGATGGAATGATAAACTACTTCTGAGTAATTTGTACCTCAAAAATCCTGGAAGGGTTGCCACCAAGCTGGAATTTGACTTTACAACACAATAGGCCCTACTGTGTAGAACTGTTACAAGTAGGTTCTCCCTCCATCCCATAGCCTAGAATATCAACTTGCTGGTACTTGACAGCAACAAGCCATGGAGCAACAAATTCAGAGTATTATGTTGCAACAAAACAAATGTCAGCTCTGTCCCAATTATTTATTCAAAGAAAACTGTAACAGACTTAAAAACATCAGACATAATACAGGAGGCATTCACCTGCTTTCATTCAAATAGAATACACTTCTGCTAGCGTGGCCTTTGTCTGCATTCTATATAGAACAAACAGGAAGTGTGCACACAAAAGAATAAAGAGACACAATACTACTTATATTTCTCCTTCACCCCATATCACATATCTATCAGTATATTTAAGAAAAAACTTCTTGCTGCTGATCAGTCAAGTGTATCTTAGTGGGTAGAACTGTGGGCCAGGACTCAGGAGACCTGGGTTTACATCCCTCCTTAGCCATGAAAACATTCTCACCGCCTGATTTACTTCACAGAATTGTTGTGGAGATAAAGTGAGCCTTGTGCTCACTATAGCAAGAGCTAATAAATAAATGAATAATAAATTATAAAGAGAATGATAGTCTACAAATGCTTGCACATCATTAAGCTTATGATATCACAAGACCTTGCTTATGTAAAAATGCTTTCTCTAAAATGAGGAGATACTCAGCTTCCCATATTATTACAAGCTAAAAGCCCGCTGTTGCCTGCAATGCCTGATAGCAGTAGGCTGACTAGCTATATTAACATATATTTCATGAACACTGTCATTGCTACAGATGAGGATTCTTGGGCTTCAAGTTAGTATGCACCATATGGAGAAAGGAACTTTGGGAGTAGGAACTATGGACTAGTTCTAGAAAAGGCAGACACCAAAACTGGAAACAATTATGAAATTATGCAAAGATATCTAGTGAAGATGATTTCATATTATTCTTCTGAATAGATGTGCAAGGAAATAATTATACTTACTGTTACCAAAAATGTTTCCAGATCCTGTGTGGTCATGCTGGAATTGAACAAAGATGTTTGGTTTAGACAGACATAATTATTGGTTCATTATTCACAACTGAAGAGGTAGAATAAAACTTAATACTGTACTTCCGAATACATTCAAAGTCACTGCTGATAAAATGCAGAAAATGTTTTCATCATTTCAAGCCTCTTGAAAAATGTTTCATTCATTTCAAAAGGACTTTGGCAAGAGACACTCTCTGAGAGTTGAACCCTCTAGATACCATTTCTAGTGATATGGTTCCCAGATCCTATTAACACTGTTACTGGCTTCCTTAATTAAGGGACATACCTCATAGAATCTCAGCTTTGATTTTAGACCTTCAAGTGTTCGCAAGCTTTCCTCCTGCTGCTTTTCCTTTGCTGCCAAAAGCCTCTTGAGATCAGCCTTCTGAAAGTAAACAAGAGCACATCATCATGCGACATACTTAATAATATTTAAACATCAAGAGATATTAATTTGGAAATGCTTCAGATCAGATACCAGAGGTGTTTCTGTTAATTTCTAGCATGTATAGTTTTGATATTCACACAACTCAAATGAAATCAGTCTTCAGGGAGGACTCGATCTGACAGGTAGGGTTGAATCTTACTGAAGTACTAGGTGATTGTTAACATGAGCTTGCCTAAATCAGGAGGAGGTCCATGACCTAAATTGTGAATATTCTGAATGCTTAATATTCTACTAGCATTGGGCCTACTAATCAAGAAAACCCTTTCTATGCCTAAGAAAATGATTAAGTCGCTGGAAGAACTTTTCTGTCAGATATATAACAAATACTGTAAAAAGTTTTACTTGTTCTTTACCTCACTTTCAAGATCATCAGTAATCATTTGCTCCTGAAAGACAACAGAAACAGATACACAAATCATATCTAAGACTATGAAAGTTCACAAATCTAAGCTATTGTTGCAATTTGACAAAAAGTCATCTCTTGCATTTTCTACTGTTCTTTTGCCCCCAAATACTACAGTATTGGAATCTGCCCAACATAATTTTTTAACCAGAGCACTAGGGGTACCAAGATCTACTTCCATGGCCACAGTCCGCTCTGAAACATTGTGCTACTCTGTGGGTACTCTTACAAAGAAAGCAGCCATGCTGTTCTGGCTCAAGTTGGTGTACCACATGGCCTCACTGCTGTTCTCATTGGTCTAAGAAGAAATGGGAAGGACTCAAGGTTGTCACCCCAAAACAGACTTGGAAAAAAAGAAAAACAGGCACAGAAGTTTCAAATCACTTTTTAGAGTGGTGTAATTACATGAAGAGTAATGATTCTGAAACAAAAGCTGCAAAACAATCATGGGGTGATGGTTCACCTCTGCAGGTATCAGTATTTGAATACTGAAGATTCTTGAGCCAAAAGGTATTCTTTAGATCAGAAGAAATTTCATCAACTTTCTACTACAATGAAATTACAATTTAAGAAAATGTGTCCCTTTCCTGTCTCAACAAGAGATTGCTAATACATGTGACCTTTTAAAAAATTATGTTGCTGAACTATGCTAATAAAGTTGTGAGTTTATGTTCAGCATGTGGATTCATCTCTTATGTTCCATGAACACTTTAGCAATTTAGCAGATACAGCAGAACCTCTACTCGCGAACGTACCCACCTATGAACAATCCAGCTTACAAACAGCTCCATTCGCAAAATTTTGCTTCTACTTGCGAATGGAGCTTCCACTTACGAACAGAAAAAAGCAGGGAAAAAAGGTCGCAATTCAAATTTCTAACTGTAGGTGGCACTGAGGCTGCTTATTTTGGCAGTTATAGGGTGTGTCGCAGTTGGAGTCTTGGGAGAGCCTCCTGCTTTGGAGTGAGCCTGTGTTTGTGTCTTCAGGGAGGTAAACTGCTGTTTTCTCCTTTTAAAAAAACTGTTCTGGCTGGATTTTGGCTGTGGTGGATATGTTTCTGTGCTGTGTTGTTGGTGGCTTTTTTTTCTTAAAGCCTCGGCAACGGAGCTGGGTTTATTGTTTATTTTTGGAGTGTTTCCCCCTTCTTAAAGCCTCAGTGCCTTCCAACTGCACTTGCTGTGTCCTTTTTTTTTGGGGGGGGGTATTTTTTTCTTCAGCCGGAAGGATTAAATCAGTGGTTCTTAACCTTGGGTTACTTGGGTGTTTTTGAACTGCAACTCCCAGAAACCCCAGCTAGCACAGCTGGTGGTGAAGGCTTCTGGAAGTTGCAGTCCAAAAACATCTGAGTAACCCAAGGTTAAGAACCACTGGATTAAATGATTTTCAATGCATTCCTATGGGGAATGGAGCTTCTACTTATGAACATTTCAACTAATGAACATCTTCTGGGATGGATTACATTCGTAAGTAGAAGTTCCACTGTATTATTTACAAACACCTAATGATGGAAGAGAATTTAATGATATTTTATATCCATCGTTTTGGAACCTTCAAGTCTGTGGGTAATGTTACAGTATGTTTTTATCTTCCGATGATTCTTGCAGTTAGAGATTTTTGGTGTATAGTATTCACAACTATTATAAATTGATCCATTTTTATCATTCTAAATTAGTCTTATGGGACAATCTACAACTGAAGATAGGGAAGAAGCCTTTTCTATGGATAGCAGTTTTTTTCTTTGCATGAGTTAACATTTTCCCCCATTTTCTCAGCTGAAGACTAGATTGGATTTGCCAGGTTTTATTCCAATGCAATTACCGTATATGCTCGAGTATAAGCCGATCTGAATATAAGCCAAGGCACCCAATTTTACCACAAAAATGGGAAAACTTATATGCTCGAGTATAAGCTGAGGGTGGAAAATGCAGCAGCTACAGGTAAATTTCAAAAATAAAAATAGATACCAATAAAATTACATTCATTGAGCCATCAGTAGGTTAAATGTTTTTGAAGATACTGCCCTTCTGAGCTGCGAGACACACTTCACTGCCTGCTGAGGGAGGACTCATACTGGATGCTGCACTTATCTACTGCTCTACTGCTGCATAACAAGATGGACGGAGGCAGAGGATGGAGGAGGAAGGTGGGTACATAGAATATGCAGTAGGAGGAGGATGGGAGTGTCCTGGAAGCGGAAATGCAGTGTACTTAACCCGGGTCATCGGACCGCCCACAGATGAGCGGGGGAGTCCGGAGAACACCCTCACTGCAGGGCAGAACATGTAATTTTGACACTGACTTGAGTATAAGCCGAGGGGGGTGCTTTTTCAGCAAAAAAACTGTGCTGAAAAACTAGGCTTATACTCGAGTATATGCAGTATTTAGTTATAGCTTTTTTTAAGATTAGGCATCTTTCTGTCTCCAGAGACTATGGTAATGTGCTCTGAATAGAGGACTTGGAACAGCATCTAGTGTGGTTGAGAAGTCCAATTCGAGAGTGACAATCCCTTCCACACTGAAGACAAATACAATCTGTCCCCTTTCCAGCTCCCTGATTTTGCTGGTTTTGGGACTGCCACTTTGCCTCAGCCTGCTGCACTGTGCTGTCCTCTGAAGATGCCGGCCACAGAGACTGGCGAAACGTTAGGAAGAACAACCTTCAGAACATGGCCAAAGAGCCCGAAAAACCCACAACAACCATTAGATCTCGGCCGTGAAAGCCTTCGCGAATAAATTAGACAAAAATCACGAATAAATTAGACAAAAAATTCATGGAAGGCAGCCACTTTCCCTGCCTTTTGCGAAGCCATGGGGCTTAGCAAAAAGGAAGGGAAGGCTCCCTTCAGGTAAAGCAGCTATGAAATGGCTGGACAATCACAGCCCTTTGATCCTGAAGCAGCCATGAAAGGGCTTCAGGATCAAAGGGCTGCGATTGTGCAGCCCTTTCACAGCTGCTTTATCCATTTCCTAAGCCCCACGGGGATCAAATTTGGGGGTTAGAAAAGGGGGGGTCGTCTTATACATTGGGTCATCTTAGAAACGGATAAATATGGTACTATTACTCATACATCTCTGAAGCACACACTCTTGCTGTGTCCAGTCATACTTTGTTTCCGAGGGAGAGTTTATATAACGTTGTAGTGGAGCAATCTCTTAACTTCATAGATACACATACTGGCTGCTTTCAGAGAAGGGTGACAAACAAACATACAAATAAATTTTAGGTAGCTGTGCAATGTGAAAAAAGCCCCAAAATACCTCTCATATCAAGATTGAGTATGATTAGGTATGGAAGATTCAGTGAAAGCAAGTATTGAGCAGCCACTTTCCTTTGCAGATTGGAAATATACAAGATGCTAGGAAAGCAAATACAGTGGTGCCTCGCTTAACGAGCGCACCGTTTAACGAAGAATCCGTATAGCGATCCCTTTTTGGGGATCGCTATACGGATCTGCCCCAATCGCCGCACCCGCTTTGCGACGATTGGGGCTCCGGCGGCCATTTTGGAGCCGCCGAT